GTGTGTGTGTGTGTGTGTGTGTGTGTGTTGTGTGAAGATTAGTATCATTAAGTTTTTTTGGGGGGGATTTATTATCAAGCGTTAATTCTCGAATGTCTTTAGATGAGTTTCACAATTAATGATAATCATCAATAAAACAACGGATATTTGTATTTGCCATTAATTATTGCTAAATCTTATTATTTGTTTTAGAAATAAGGTATGAGTACAAGATATAACACTAAGGTTACACTTTCTGAATTAGTAGAGAAAATATAGAATATGATTAAAGTTTAAAATTGTTTGACTGGCAATTGAAAATTATTACGTCAAATTTTATATTAATTATATATGCAATGTAATTGTGCTTCATAAAATTTTTTTAATAAACGTTTAGACAAAATGTATAGTACAGAGCAAATAAATGAGACGTCTCATTAGATTATTTAGATGCGTTTATTTCTCTGCAAAGATTATAGTACAATAAATGGATTAACATCGCACACAGATTTCACAATTCTCTTCATTTTTATTTTCTTGACTAAATTAGTAGAGCTAAGATAGGAATAGACATTCTAACTGCAGTAATTGTACATATATAAGTCAATATGCAATACGATATTACAGCTGAGGAGGTTTTCCAAATAACAGACATTCGCAAAATTTGCAGATAAATCAAAGTATACAATATATTGATTAATGCAAAACCAGGTATTAAGATCTTCACTGTAGAATTGCATGTTTCGACACTCAACCAGAGCGGCACAAAAATCATAAAAGTACATACAGTCTCGACATCACGTCGGTGAGCACTTCGTATGCGAATTACGTCAGGATGACCATCGCCAGTTGTACATAAAGTTATGTCCTTTTCTTTCATCATCCACATTCTGTCTTCCTCGCTGTGAATTATCTATGCAAGCAATCAAATCATAAACAAACTGATTAAATTTTGACTAATCTGTATAAATAATATAATGTTTCATAACTGCAAAGAAAATAAAGACTAAATATATTTGTTTACACTTTCACGGTGATATTTCTGTGAGCATTTAAGAAGAAAGAAAAAGATAATCTGATGTACAAAGTTTTCGATTTGAAAGTGCGTATATAAATAAAATACACACACATACACTAACACAAATACATTTATAATATGAGGAGTGTCGAAATAAGCATTAATTAATGTGTATGATTGCAATTAAGTATTTTTTTACAGTATTGTCATGATTGTCATGAAAAATGTTTGCCAACAAACATCAATTAAGCAATAGCAAGGCAATGAAGTTTATAAGAAATATATTTATTTTATATACACAATCTGAATAATTTATTTGATATTTAATATTGCTATGTATGCACGTTTTATTATTTTCTATATATTTTATTGATATGATGAAAACAGAAGATTTGGCACTTTAAATTAAAGAGATATAAACTTGAAGAAACTGGTTGTTAAAATTTATCTGGAACAAATATCCCATTTGTCATTTTATTGAAAATTCGATTACGAAAGAAAAAGATTTAAATAATTTCGCGCGCTTTAAAGCCTTTATTTTATGCACAAGCTTTCTCTTTTTCTTTCTCATTTTTTTTATATCATTGTGTATGTTACACACACACACACACACACACACACATTAATTTCACATTCGAGAAAAAGATATATTTTGACATAGTAACAAAATTTAATTACAAATTTTCCCAAATCGATTTAATTTGCATTTCAATCTAGATATGCATCAGATTTCAATTTGTATGGAGACGATAATTCAAAAGCTCATTGAAATTTTACAGTTTCGCTATATTTACATATTTTTAAAGAAAATTATAAATTTGCTTTAAAATCACAATTTTCTTTCAATTATATTTTAATTATGAATGATTAATCCATGAGAAAAGTTTGCGTAAGGAAATTTACACTTAAAAATTTAATAATAATAATTCGCAAATTCTTAATAGTAATATCTATATATTTTTTATTATATTTTTTACGTTTATGTAGCAGTATTTTTCAACCGAATTATATTTTTACATCATAATTGATACTTGTGTATTGTATTTTGTGTTCGATATAATAAATCACATGCAATAACAGAAGATGCGTAAAATTAAATAATAATTTTTAATATTAAATAGAAGTTGTGTATAAATTTGAGATATATTTTTATTAAACATTTGATAAAATTAATTTACTGTTAAATAAATGATTGATATTAAAAACAAATTCTGTGTAATTTTCATTTTCGACTAAATAAAACTAAGAAATATTAATATATTGCATTCTGCAAAGTTGAATCTTGCTGATGTTTGATAATACTTGAGCTTTGATCATAGTATATGCATAATCAGCACATTCGTTTCGTATTTTTTGCACATTGTACATTCAAATGCAAATATTATATGCGAATTAAGAATCAAAGATCGTTATTATCTTATCCTTGAATATTTTAAAATGCAAATTAAAATTTTCAATGTAATTAATGATAACCTCTTAATCGCAGCTCTCGATAAACTACAGTTTATTGTATTATTTATTTAAATCCAATTTAAACGAATTAAAAAACAATAATTCTTTAGCTTAACAATATAATCTTTTTAATAATAAGTTCTTTACAGTGCTTGCAAAGAACTTGCAAAAAATGCTTATTCGCATCAAATTAAGAATTGAAGGTCAATTCTTAATTTGATGCGATCTCACTATCCAGCTTCAGCAAACGATTACGTTGCAAGTCCGATATTGATTCAGCGCGCAGTTTAAGTGGCTAAATAATGGATTAAAAAATTTATGTAGAATTATTATTAAACAAGATCGAATCATAATCGTAGAAGGCAAATTTATTTGTAATAATCTTTTTAATAAAAATAACTGAACAATAATATCCTATACTAAAGAAACAAAGGTTAAAGACGAATAATAAAATAGATGTCACATAAAAATAAAAATAATGTTAGATTTTATTATAATGAACAATTTAGATTCACCGAATCTTCTTCAACCCAAATTATACAGAATAAATAACACAATATAAGAAATATAATAATAGTATGAAAATTATAATAGAAAGACACCAAAATAAAAATCACAAGAGCCATGCTACTCTTGTATGTACACAATTTGTTCATTTTCTTTTTTAAAAAAATCAACAATCATATAAAAAGATATACAGATCAATAATCATATAAAAAAATTTAAAAACATTCATTAAATAAGATAATAAATTACAAAAGTTGTTGCGAAATTTTCATATTAAAAAATTAATCTGTTCCAGTCTCTTTCTGAATAATTATAAGAAATTGTTAAACTTTGCTGGGTATCAGCGTCAAGTTCTCGAATCCAAACTGTCAAAAAGTAAGATGAAAAAGAATTAGCTGTAAAAAATGTAATTATGAAAGAATCAAGCAACAAAATCAATCAAACATATTATGCAATAAAACCGAATTTTTTTTTCAAAAGAAAAACGAAAATCTGATATAATATATGAAAAACATAAAGAAAGAAAAATGTATACATATATTAGTAAGAAACATTCAATCGTTATTGTTGTTAAATTGTCTCTACTGGAAAGATTATCAAAATATAAGCAAAAGTTATAGGCACATAAACTACTCAATCAATCACAGATGTTGTACAAAAATATAGAAATTATCACTTATAATAATATGCTATTTATAAAAAAACAACGTTTTTCATTGTTTATTAATTAGAATATCATAGAGAAATTATACAATTATGCTATGCATGTTTAAAAACAAAAATTATACACATTTATAAATTAATAAATTAAATAAATATCTGAATATTCAAATGAGTAGATTGAATACTCAATTTTAATTAAGTGTTAAATTAAAAATATATTCTTAATAACGTAAATAATAATCAATTCGCTTTTAATAAAACATGCAACAAACATTCACACAAAATTCAATCACATCGGTAAACGATTTATTTTTTATATTTTGCTTTAATTTTTGAGTAAATTTTATTTTATATCCTGACTGAGGCAATATTTTTTGCAATAAATTATTCTATAGAATTAATTAGTAATAAATAAATAAATAAATTAATTAATTAGTTATTCTATACAATTTAATAAGATGTGCTCATTGGCATCATAATTATTAAATTGATTGTCAATTTAATTTGTGATATTAGTCCAGATTCAGTTTGGAGCTCTGTTTCAAGACCAACAAATATTTGGTGCATAGTTTACCTGAATTGGAAATTGTAAAAGATTCACATTGTTATTATGAACTAAGGTCTGCTTTTAGACTGCATATGGCATTCTAATAATTTATAGTAGTTTGAACTTTCGTGGACTCGATTAGATATCATATAAAATTTTATTTACTTAATTTTTATTGTTTAACTCTGAGAAGGGAACTGTGCAAGAATATAATTTTAACTTTTAATAAAAAGAAAAGTTACAGTAGCAGCGCTGAAACAGTCTCATATTTTGGTAAAAAAAATACAATAAATTATAATAAGTCTTACTCAAGAAAAACATGTAAAATTTTAAAATTTTTTAAATATATTTCTCCCTCGCTGTACATAGATTAATTATATTTATATATGTATATGTTTCTTCACTTTTTATTTAAAGCAAATTCTTTTTTTTTTTTCTTAAAGAAAAATGTGATCGTGATTTAAAACTAAAATTATTTTCGGTAATTTATTATTATGGAACGATGGAAATGCCGCGTGTATATTGATGAATAGTTTTTGCAATCAACATATCAATCGGCGATAATTAGCTGTCAATCAACATTTGTTTACACATCACGTAACATTGGATTGTGAATTCGGAATGTCAGAAATATCGAGCAGCATTAAGCGACTCATAATGCTAATTTATGTGATTGTAATTTTCGAATTCCTAATTTCTGTTTACTTCAGTATTACTGTTTTATTGTTTCGAGTGATTAACGTGTATCTTCCATCAGAAATAATTGTCGCGCGCTATTAATAAATATTAATAAACGTCGAATCTCAGTCAAACGAAAAAAATTAATTTATTAGTTTAACTTAAAAACTAAACGTTAACTTTATAATTATCGTGTTATTAATTAATTTAAATGGGTCGTATAAAGCTCCGTGCGATCGATAAAAGCTAAACCAAAAATCGCCCGTTTTTCGGACCTCGATTTTTTAACCAAATTTTATGCCAAATGATTAGTCAGGATGAGATAATAATCGCATAAAATTTTTGAGATGAGCATATGACTGGTTTGCGAAATATAGGGGGTCAAAGTTGTGTCTATCCTTTGAGAATGTTTGACACTTGTGTTTTCATTGCCCTAATATTCATGTTAAAAAATAGTTCCGACAGTATTTTATTGTTTTTTGGGTCGCTGCTTATGAATCTAAAATCTAAATTCCAAAATTCAAAATGGCGGATCCAATATGGCTGCCCGATATTGCGAAATTCAAAATAATCTAAATGAAAATCGCTTTTCGGGGATTTTTTAGGTCGCTGATTATGAATCTGTAGTCTGAATTCAAAATAATTTGACTAAAGTTTTGAAGAATTATTTTTAAAGTTTTAAAGTTTTGAACAATTAACAGTATATATATATATATATATATA